TGTATGACACTAGTTTAATTTCTTTTATAGTGTATGGATTGTTCACTTTTTGCTTAAAATGATAATGTTTAAGATAATCAACTAGAAAATTAATTGGTAGAAAAAGAGTTTGATAATCTATGCTTATATTGAACGTTTTGATAGGTTATGCTTATTTATTTCTAGGATTGTTATCTAGTTGCTTGTTCTTTTCATACATAACAATTTTTGCTTGGATGATAATTTGATTGATTATATTTTCTTTGAGTGGTTTGATAATTTATGCTTAGTAAATTTAAAGTAAAATATGATAAAAAGAGAGTAGTTTATAAATCCTAATTAAAATTAACTAGCGAAATCAATTCTAGATTCCTAACTTCTCGGCTTGTTTCTCCTCAATCTTTTTGATTTGATCTTTCTCTTCGTTTCTTGATTTTATTTTATTGATTTTCTCTTCTTCCTACATCCTTCTCTTTTCTTATTTTTATTTTTTTTTACTTCTTTTTAGTTCCTTTTTGTTTTCCTTTTATTTGTTTCCTCCTCCTCTCTTCCTCCCATCTCGTTTTAGTTTTTTTCTTTATTTTTTTTGACAAATCTCTCTTTACATTTCTACACTTTCACTCTTACTCCTTTTTACCCACACTTTTCTAGAACAAAATTTTAAAATTTTCAAATACACACCTTCCTTGTTAGTTTGACATCTATACTATACTATAACTTGATAGTTGTGCAATTGTAACACATCATTATTTACCTCCTCTCAAGATACAAAATTGTGAATTTTAAATTCTAAAAAATATTTAAGATAGGATCGAAACAAGAAAAATTTTTCAAACGTCATAGGTTACATATGTCATGAAATTGTGAATTTTGAACTACAAAAAAATTATTTTCAATTGTTTCTAAACAAAGAAAAAAAATTTTAAAATAATGGGTAGCTCATGAAATCGTGAATTTTGAACTTCATAAAACTATTTTCCATTGGGTCAAAAAGAGAATAGATAGGAAAAAATGTTGGTGTTAGCTCATAAAATCATGAATTTTGAATTCTAAAAAAATTATTTACTAGATGAAAATGAATAAAATTGGACAAAAATTATTTGCTATTAGCTTGAAACGAACGAAATTGCACAAAAATTGTGTATTATAATTAATAAAACCATGAATTTTAATCTGTGAAAAATTATTTATCATGTGATTGAAATGAAAAAATAGACAAAAATCGTGAATTATAGCTCATGAAACCATAAATTTTAAATTCTGTAAAATTATTTACCATTGGTACAAAATGAATGAAAATGTGTAAGGTTCTTGAATTTTGGACTCAATATTTTTTTTCATTGGGTCAAAACAAATGACAATGCACAAAATTATGGATTGCTCCTAAAAAGTTGAATTTTAACTAATACAAAATTAGTTTCCTTTGGATTGAAGCAAAAAAAATAATAAAAATAAAATAAAATGTGGTGGATTAGAGCTAATGAAATTGCTAGTTATATAACTCATGAAATTGTGAATTTTAAGTGCCACAAAATTATTTACCATTAGATAGAAATAAGCAAAAAAATAAATTGTGGATAACAGCTCATGATATTGTGAATTTAAACCATGTGAAGTTATTTTCCATTAGGTCGAAATGAATGAAAATGGACAAAAGTCTTTGTTTATAGTTCATGAAGTTTTGTATTTTGAACTCCACAAAATTACTTGTTATTGGCTCAAAATAAATAAAAATAATTTAAAAATTATGGGTTATAGTTGATGAAATCATGCTTTTTAAACTCCATAGAACTATTTTCGTTGAGTAGAAATAAACAAAAATGGATGAAAAATCATTTGCTATAGCTCATAAAATCTTGAGTTTTGAAATCCAGAAAATTATTTGCCATAGGATCAAGATGAATAAAAAATTCAAAAATCATGAGTTAAAGCTCATGAAATTGTGAATTTTAAACTCCACAAAATTATTTGCCATTGAGTGAAAATAATCAAAATTTTTTAAAAATATTAGGTTATAGCTCATGAAATAATGAATTTTACACTCTATAAATTATTTTCTATGAGGTCAAAAGAACGAAAATGCACAAAATTCATGAGATATAACTCATAGAATTGTGAATTTTAAAATCCAAAAAAATATTTGCCATTAGGTTGAAACAATTGAGAAAATAAAAAGTTATGGGCTA